TGCCAATTAAGTGGCAATAGCCTGGAGGGCTGGGGCAGGGTCCTCCAGAAGGCAGTATATGCTTTGAATCAGCATCCAATATATGGTACAGTTTCTCCCATTGCCAAGATTCATGGGTCCAGGAATCAAGGGGTGGAAGTGGGAATGATTCCACTCACTATCACCCCTGGTGACCCACCATGAAAATTTTTTATTCCTGTACCCTCGACTTTGCACTCTACTGGCTTGGATGTGTTGGTTCCAGAGGAGGGAGTGCTTCTGCCAGGAGAAACAAACATTCTGTTGAACTGGAAGGTAAGACTTCCCCCTGGACACTTTGGGCTTCTGATGCCCTTAAGTGAGCAGGCTAAGAAAGGAATAACAGTATTAGGAGGAGTGGTTGACTCAGACTATCAGGGGGAAATTGGACTGGTTCTCCACAATGGAGGTAATGAAGATTATATCTGGAAGGCAGGAGATTCCTTAGGGTGACTTTTGGTGTTACCATGTCCTGTGATTAAGGTCAATGGGAAACTGCAACAACCCAATCCAGACAGGACAACAAATGGCTCAGACCCTTCAGGGATGAAAGTATGGGTCACTCCTCCAGGATAAGAGCCAAGACCTGCAGAGGTGCTTGCTGATGGTGGAGGAAATACAGAATGGGTCATAAAGGAAGGTACTTACAAATACCAACTTAGGCCACATGACCAGTTGCAGAAACATGGATTGTAATTGACCTGAGTATTCTTGTCCTAGTTGGTTAAGAATAGGCTTGTGCATGTATACACATATGTTAAGCAGATACTTTAGTTATTCTTTTTTTTGAATGTGTAATTGAGATAAGTGTTAAGTGGTTAAGTGTTGTGAACCTATATGATTATACTGGCTTATGAGACACTAAAGGACTAAGCATTCCTTGAAGACCTTTTCACCTACTCTAAGATATATAATGCATTGGTCATTGTATGATAGGATAGTCATATCATGTTAGGTGAAATTATGACCTCAATATTGTTTTCATTTGAAAATTAAGCATGACATTGATGCTATTGGGTGTCAAGTTGACAAGGGGTGGACTTGTGCTGGCTAACCCTGGGTGTCAACTTGACTGGAACTGAAATGAGATAGATCTTCTTGATTGGATCATCTGAAGCTGGAAGACACACCCTAAATGTGGGTGTTACCTTCTGATGGCAGCCTGTATAAAAGGTCATGGCAGAGGAGAACACCTGGGTTCTTGCTGCTTGCCTTCTCTCTTGCTGGTGAGTTAGTCTTGCTGCTGTAGACTGAAGACTAGCTGATCTTTTGGAATTTGTCAGACCTTCAGTGCCAGCTTGGGACTACTGAGACATCCAGCCTCGTGGACTTGAGCGATTATGGATTTCTCAGCCTCTCCAGTGTGGTGCAGCCATTGTTGGACTACTTGGACTCTATCCTGTGAGCTAAGCTGATAAATCTCTGTACATACATATTCATTCTACTGGTTCTGTTTCTTTGGAAGAACCCTGACTAATACAAGTATATACTATTATCATTCCCTTATTACAACAAAACTTAGTCATAGAGAATGCCTGTATACCCTCAGTTGATTTGGTAGGCTCCATATTTTCCATTTGTAAAATGAGAGTAGTAGTAGTTAGGTCAAGGACACGTCATAGAATCATACAAAATAGTATATGAAAGTACTTAGGACAGTGCTTGGCACCCATAGCACATTTTGATGGCTAAAATTACTGTTATGCTACTGAAGTCATTCTAGAGGATCACGAAATTCTTATGAATTGTCAAATCTAATGGATATCTTCTGAGTCATACTTTGCTAGACATTTCTGCAATATTTGTTTCTTAATTTTTGTTCATTTTTAAAGCTAGGCTTTGCTATGTAACCCAGGCTACCCTTGAATCTATTATCTTCCTGCCTTAGCTCCCATGTGCTGGGATTATAGGAGTATAACACCATGTCTGGCCAGTATTTGTAACTGCAGATTATTTATTCTTTGAAGCTTCCTCCAAGTCCATTGCTTTTGAATATTCAAACAGTTTATCTCGGTTCTCTTTCTGTGTCTCTGAAGCTTTATTCATTTATTTTCTTTTCCTTCATAGACTTTTCTTCCTGCCCATCAAATAGTTATTTGCCAGTGGACTAGCTCAGTCCAGTATTCTTACTATATACATTCTTCTATCTTTCCTCTGTGACTCTATCTTCTCTGGTACTGATGTATCCCAAATATTTACCCCCCTCCCCTGTGCATTTGGTATATGTTCAGTTCCCTGGTGAAACATGGCTGACATACAAGCTTGGAAAGCTGAGCAAGTAAAATACAAAACTTAAATTTCCTCCTTAAAACACATTATTTAGCCCAGAAGACTAGAAACAGAACTACCATATGGTCTGGCAACCCCACGGTTGGGTACACAGCTACAGGTACAGTGAGGTACCTATACTCTCATGTTTATTGCAGCACTATTCACAGTAGTTAAGATAAAGGACCAACCTAGGTGTCTATAAATGGATGAATGGAGAAATGTGATATATATACACAATGGAATGTTGCTCAGCTCCCAAAAAAAATCAAGTTCTGCCAGGCGTGATGGCACACACCTTTAGTCCCAGCACTTGGGAGGCAGAGGCAGGTGGATCTCTGTGAGTTCAAGGCCAGCCTGGTCTTCATAGTGAGTTCCAGGACAGCTGGGGCTACAGGGAGACCCTGCCTCAAAAAGACCAAAAAATAATCAAGTTCTTTGTTTTTGTAGCAACACAGATAGAAGTGTAAGATATATTTTAAATATTTTTATTATTTTTATTTTATGTGTATGAGTGTATTATCTACATGTATCTAAGTGCACTTGTGTCATGCAGTGTACAAGGAGGTCAGAAAAAGAAGTTGGAATTCCCCTGAAACTGTAGTTAAAGAAGGTTGTTAGCTACCATGTGGGTGCTAGGAATTGATCCTGGGTCCTCTGCAAGAACAGCCAGTGCTCTTAACCACTGAGTCATCTCTCCAGCCCCAGAACTACAAGACATATTAAGTGAAATAAGTCAAGCATAGAAGACAAATGCCATATGTTCTCACTTATATGTGGTATCCAAAAAGTTGATCTCAGAGAATTAGAGAACAGAACAGTGCTTCCCAGAGCTTGGGAAGGATTTAGTGGGAGGGAGGAGTGGAGAGAAGATGATGGGTACAAGGATGCCTTTGGATAGAAGGAATGACTTTTCATCTGTAGTGCAGTAGGAGAGCTGTATTTGAAAACCAGTGTTTCAGTATAGCCAGTAGAGAGGATTTTGAATGTTCCCAACACAAAGAAAAGACATATACCTGACATATGCCCATTTCCACAATCTGATCATTACATTGTACACAATATTTAAGTGTTACTTTTACCCATAACTATGTACAATTATTGTGTGTCCAATAAAATATTAAAAAAAATATTCACCTTTAATCCCAGCACTTGGGATGCATGGATCTTTGTGAGATCAAGGCTATATAGTGAGTTCCAGGCCAGCTGGGGCTATAGAGAGACCAGTGTCAAAAAGTCCAAAACAGAAACAAAGAAAAAAAAAAAAACAAAATACTATTGCTTTTTAAACTTTATGTTCTCTTTTAATGGACTATTTATTCTTTATTCAAAAGAATATAATGTAGATTTTCTTTCCTTTGTATTCTTTTTCTTGTAGAGCCCCTATAATTAATTATCAAGTTCTGTTGATTTTGTCCCTAAATAATTGTAGAATCTGCCTTATCCTCTTCATCAATAATACCAGTACCCTAGCTGTTGCTGAGGAGCCTCTTTTCATAAAGAATACTTCCTGGCAGTATTGGTTGTTTTTGTGGTTGTTTGTTTTTTGTTTTGTCTGTGTTCTCCCCCTCCCCATCTCCCAACATATCTTGTTTGTGAATAAGAGAGGTGTCTCCAAAAATGGTATCTGACCAAGACTCCTCACTACTTAAAGGACAAATTCCAGGCCACTTAACGATAGGACATATAAAAATCCGTAATAGGGGCCGGAGAGATGGCTCACCAGTTAAGAGCACTGACTGCTCTTGCAGAGGACGTGGGTTCAATTCCCAGTACCCACGTGGTGGCTACAAACTGTCCTTAACTCCAGTTCCAGGGGAATCCGAAGCCCTCTTCTGATCTCTGTGGCATTGCAGGACATGGGTGCACTCACATACATGCAGGCAACACACTCATACTCATAAGATAAAAATAATAAAATTATTTTAAAAAATCCTTAGCAATTGTTTTCCTCTTGGCACAAGAGTGTTACCCACTGCTAACTCCAGACTACGTAGATAACCATGTTTTTTCCTCTGCTTTGTGTGTCTTGTTTCTCTGCCTGAAGTATCATTTAGTACCTATTTGTGTGACTGATTCCTCATATTTAAATTTTAGAACGTGTCTTTCTTGTAAAGGAAGATTGTCCTAATTCATCTTTCTTCTCTGACCCCATGAGTACTTGCTAAGTGCCCCTGTAGTGCCCTCTGTCCTTCTGTAGTATACTGAGTTCCTTCAGGGCAAAAATTGGATTCAGTCATTGTTTCTTGGTTTTTTGAGTACCACTCTCCACCATGTACTGTGCTGAATGCTGGAGATCAGTAAGGATAAAGCCAAGGGCCTCTTTTCCTCATGAAATTTCTTTTTTTTTTTTCTTTTGGTCTTTTTTGAGACAGGGCCTCCCTGTAGCCCCAGCTGCCCTGGAACTCACCAGGGTGGCCTTGAACTCCACCTACCTCTGCTTCCCAAGTTCTGGGATTAAAGTCGTGTGCCACGATGTCTGGCTGGAATTTATTTTCTAATGGAATAGGCAAAAATGAAAATAATGACACAAGATAAGCAAAGGAGTGCAAACTGTCCAAAGGCCGTGAAAGCCAAGCATGGAGGGTCTTATGCCATTGGTTCAGTCCCACTTGCCTAGCTCCATGCTTCACTTAGATGCTGCACTGCAGCGTGCTCACTGAATGAAAGAATGCAGTTGTGGGTCATAATGCTTTATCTTTTTTCCCCCTTAGGTTCTTTCACAGCAGTTGCAGCAGTTGGAAGCTGAGCATAATACTTTACAAAACACCATGGAAACAGAAAGGCAGGAGTCCAAGGTTCTGATGGAAAAGATGGAACTTGAAGTGGCAGAGAGAAAATTATCCTTCCATAATCTTCAGGAAGAGATGCTTCAGCTTCTGGGACAGTTAGAGCGATCAGGCCAAGCCCAGACTGAACTGGAGTCTCGGTATGCTGATTTGGAGCAGAAGCACAAAGCAGAAATGGAAGAGAAGACTGCTTGCATTTTGAGACTTCAAAAGACTGAACAAGAGCTGCAGTCTGCCTGTAGTGCTCTGAAGGATGAAAATTCAAAGCTTCTCCAAGATAAGAGCGAACAGGCAGTTCAGTCGGCCTGGGCCATTCAGCAGTTGGAAGGTTAGTCTTTGGTAGCTTTTGAAGGCCACATCTCTAGACCCTGCATGGATTGTACTTCCTACTTTCAGAGATCTGTTAACACCATTTGCCCAACCAGTTGAATCAATATAAGGATAAGAGAGGCATCTCTCTTTTTTTTTTTTTTTGCCGCCTCTGAGGTTACAGTCTTCCTAACATCATCACAGTACTAAAACTACTAGTGGTGATGGTGTAGGTGTTAAATAGATTATATTGGGGGAAGAACTCAGGACTGAAATGAGTAGGACTTGAATTTGTTCTTGAATTTGTCCCAAAGACTCGGGCCAGATCTAGGTAAATAACAAGAAGTTACCCATAACTGCAACGACGGATCTCAGTGCTTTTCTAGTGAATGAAAATTTCCTTTTAAAGAAAACTTTGGTCCTTTAAGCAAGTTTTTTTTTTTTAAATTATTATTTTTATTTTATGTGTATGACTGTATTGCCTGCATGTGTGTAAGTGCACTTGTATCATGCAGTGCCCGTGGAGGTCAGAAGAAGGTATTGGATCCCCTGGAACTGTAGTTACAGATGGCTGTTAGCTGCCATGTGGGTGCTGGGAATCAAACCTCAGGCCAGCAGTCAGTGCTCTTAACTACTGAGCCATCTCTCTAGTCCCCCTTTAAGCAACTTTTAAGAAACATTATTAAATATTTTATTAAAATTGGTAACTCTAAAAATATTTCAGAAGTTTATGAAGAAATGCAGCTCCCTAAACATTAGTAATCCATATTACCATATTTCTTTCAATTATAAAACTTATACTGATAGATGGGCATATACTATGGGAAGGTTTTAGAACTAAGTTGAAAATATGTATCAAAGAATTGGCTTTCAATAAGAAAGTCTAGAGGACATTGTGTGGGAATAGGGTGACATAGGCGCACACTGTCCTCTTAACTATGTATGTGTTTACAACCTTGTTATGGGCTCTTCATAGAGTCATAATAAGTGGAGAGTGAAGAGCATAAGTTATAAACCACTAAACCACTTAACTCTTAAGGAAAGAAAGGAAACATGAACATTTTCTAAATTTCTGAAGACCCTTTTTATTAATATGTATTAAGTGTACATGTTAATAGCATTTAGTGTGATAGTTTCATACATGCATACAGCATGTGTTGACCACCTCTAGTCACCTTTCTTCAAACCCCCCTCTCTCATATCCCTCACCCTTCCAAGTCCCTAGAAATCACATTCTTTTTGAGGCTGACTTTTTTCTTTAGTTCCCATATATGAGAGAATATACAGTATTTACCTTTCCATATCTGGCTTACTTCATTTAACATGTATCCTCCTGTTCCACCCGTTTTGATGCAGGTAATAGACTTCATTTTTCTTTGTGGTTATGTAGTACTCTGTGTGTTTATTTTTCCTTTGAAGGAAGTAGTTTACTGATGCCGTTGGTCCAAACAGTTAAAAAAATGTCATCGGCATCCTAATTTTAATTATGATAATGGAACTAGTAAAGTACATAGAGTATCTCCTTAGACGATAGTAAGTCATTATGTTTTAGACTAGAAGCAGACATCACGTCTGTTATTTGTTCTCTTTTCCTCAGATAGCACCTGTTTTCTTTTCCTTAGATCAACTCCAGCAAAAATCCAAAGAAGTTAGCCAATTTCTAAATAAACCAAACTTGCAAAAACATGAAACAGCATCTCAGACTTTACCAGATGTTTGTAATGAGGGCATACAGGTAATTCAATGTGAATTTCTTATGACTATGATCTATTTACTGTATTGATGGGCTCTAGTAAGTATTTATTACAGACAGGAGCATAAACTTGTCTTTTCTACCTAATGAAATGCTTGTGTGGGGAGGTGATTCTACTGAAAGGAATCATGAAAGGCATTAAGGCAGTGTTGCAACAAGGAATAATGAGAAAGTAATTTTAAAAAGCACTTTCTTAGGAGTGTTTCTGACACTAACCTCTTAAAAATCTGTACTGGGGATGAATCATTATTTTTGCTTTTAGAATTAGTTTTCTCAGTGCAGAAGTCAGGTTTATTTTGGTAGACTATGATTTGATCAGGTGTAGCATACACAAATCAGTCTAAACAAACTTAAAAGTTTATTACTTCCAATAAATATATTAATAGTAAAAAAATTTTTTTAGTTTCCAAGTGGTTTGTTGGCCAGTACGTTCTCTTTTCCTTCTGCAGCAGTCCTTTTGGAAAACTATATTACAGTCACCTCAAGGCTACTTAAGGAGCAGAAGTATTAGAACAAAGGGAGTTTGATGATCTTGTTGATCAAGCTGGCCAAACTGCAATAAGTGGGTTCCTCCACCTCCATTGTAAGATTACAGCTTTCCAATCTGACAGACATGTTAAGACAAGAGTCCATGGTTCCTGATTAGTACTGTGCATTGATAAAAAAATGTTTGCTTCTTGGCGTCTAGTATCTAGGCTTTCCAGTCTCTTCTGTTACTCCATTCTTCCTTTTTTTCCCTCCAATGTTTTTTACTAAGACATTTCCCAACAATTAAAATAGACTGAAATTTCATACAGAATACTTGTATACCCTCCTCTAGATTCTGTCATCACATTTTACTGTATATATTTTCTTTATCAGTTATTCATCTATCCATGTCTATATCAGTTCATCTTAATACTTTCTTACATTTCACAGTTAAGTTGTCAACATCAGTACTTTTTTTCCTCTAAATATTCAGCATGTCTGTCATTGATTAGATTCCAACATTTGTTTATAGTTGAGGTATACTAGTTGAGGAATTCTTCTCTTGAGGTAAGATTTACAAGCTATTAAATGTGTAAGTCTTAAATATACCATTCAGTGAGTTTTTGTTAGATGTATTCACCTATATTACCCAAACACCTAGTAAGGTATAGTACCATCACCCCACAGATTTTCTCTTTGGTCATTTTTTTTTTTTGAGACAGGGACTCCCTGTAGCCCCAGCCGGACTGGAACCAAGCTATGTAGACCAAGCTGGCCTCAAAATCACAGAGATCCGCCTGTCTCTTGCCTCCCAAGTGTTGGGATTAAATGTGTACGCCACCACACCTGGCTACAAAATATACTCTTTAGAGTGAACTATTTTTCTGTTTCTGTTTTTCACCTTAATTTTGCATGTTTTACATAAATATAAATATAATACAGTATGTGTCCTTTTGTGTAAAGCTTTTTCTTACTTAGCATGTTTTCTGCTTCATACCTGTTGTTGTTTTTATTTTATATTACCATTGTGGAGCATAAACACAGGTAAAATAAAAGTAGACAAATGGTTGGAGCCATGATCTAGTAAAATTTTATTAATAAAAGGAAGTGGAACGCCTCCAAAATTTTCAAATCTTCGTTTGATATTCCCATTTCATATCATTCTGTGTAAAGGATTTCCTTTAACTTGTGTGTGTGTGTCCATTAGCATAGACATATATCTGGTAATGAATTCTTAACAACTCTCATGTGGCTAATGCCATCATTATCTCAGCCTTGTTATTTTTGCTGACTATAGAATTCTACATTGACATTTTTTCCCCTTTCTTGCAACATTTTAAGAGTTCTTCTATTCAGCCATGTTCTCTGTCATGTTTTGTTTTCGAGGAGAAATCTCTTTTTTATTTCTTCTGGTTGCATTGTAGGATTTTATCATTAGCTTTGAGCACTGGAGTTTGACATGCCTTATTTCACCACATTTCATGTACCATTAGAAATATTCTGCCATTAGATGATTTTTATGACTCGTGCCCTTCTTTGAGAATGCCAGTTATACATGTATTAACTGTACTTGTTCTGGCACTCATTGATACTGGCTTAGATTTATTGTTTTCTTCTTTATTTCATTCTGTTAGTTTCTATGTCTATATCTTTGTTTACTAATCTTCACTTGTGTGATGTGTTATGCAGTATATTTTTTTCAGTGTCAAACATTTAAATTTCCTAAAATTCTTACTTGGGCTTCAAAAAAAAAATAGCTTCCCTGTCTTGTCTTGACCTTTTGCATATATAAGAATTAATTTTACTAACTGTCTTAATGTCCCTATTTTTATTCTAACATCTGTATCGATACCTGGTCTGTTTAAGTTGGTTTTTCTCTTTATTAAGGCTTAAGTTTTCTGGCTTCCTTGTATACCCGATAATCTGTGGTTGGTTGCCAGATGTTATGAATAAAAGCTATATATTCGCATAAATATTTTAAAACTTTTTGGCGGATTCAGTTGTTGCCTGAAAAAGCCTTCTTTGTTTTGTTGAGTTTGAATTGGTGCTCATTCATTCTGTACTACTGAAGCAAGACGGCAGGGCATTCTGCTTGGTACCCTGAGCAGTGTTAGGCTTTTTTCACATTTGTCTATAGGAACTGACCCTACAAGAACACAAAGTGCTGCTCTCTAATCTTTCTAGGTGGATAGTTTGGGGTAATTACGTGGCCTAGGATAGCTCCCTCACGTCCATGTGCTGCTCTCCAGTCTGCTGAGTACATGTAGGGATCTTCTAGAGACCTCCTCTGTGGGGTTCCATTCTGTCAGTTCTCTCCCTTGACTCTTAGCTGTGCCTTTTTAACTTGGGACCAGTCAGGATCTGCTTACGTTCCCCCCCTTTGAGGGCATATAGCCTAGAAACTTGTTTACGACATTAATATTATAGAAAGTACAGTATGTATCATTTGTAGCCTTAGTGCTAAAACTGAACTACCTCACTTAAATGCAGAAACCTTGTCATGATATACTCTCACCCCATTCTTTATGCTGTATTTTCTGTCTGTTTTATATTAATAAAAATTTTAAGTTTTAGCATACAGTCTTAACATTTATGCATTGAACAGTTACATGTATTTAAAAGACATTAAGGAGATGGTGACAGTATTTACACACGTATTTACCATTTGCAGTGTTCTTTTCTCTCTGATGATCAGCTTCCCATCTGAGAACCATATTCTTCTAAAATACCCTATATATACTTATAATCATGTCTGCTAGAGAAAAGCATTCTCTTGGTTTTATTTAATAATAGTCTTTATTTTGTTCTTTAGTGATTTTGATTATTGGATATATAGCTGTAGATTGATACTTTTCTTTTCAGACCATTAAAGAATTTATTTTACTGTCTTCTCACCTACATCCCCCATACACACTCTAACAGTTCTTCAGTAATCATTCAAATGATTATTCCCATATATGGAAGTATCATATATTCTGTTTTCCACTCAGATTAAAAAGACATTTTCTTAGCTGGATGTGGTGGCGCACGCCTTTAATCCCAGCACTTGGGAGGTAGAGGTAGGCAGGTCTCTGTGAGTTCAAGGCCAACTCTACATAGAGAGTTCCAGGCCACCAGGTGGGGCTACAGGGAGACCCTATCAAAAACACCAAAAAAAAAAAAAAAAAAAGAAAATTTCTTTTTTTGATGGACTCACATTGTGTTTTTCTTTGCAATTTTCTTGCTTTTGTTGAGGATTTTTTTTTTCCCTTACATATATAACCTGTGTTTGAGAAAATTTTATTTTGGCCATTTTTAATTCTTTTTTTGGTCTTTTTGAGACAGGGTCTCCCTGTAGCCAAGTGCTGGGGCTAAAGGTGTGCGCTACCACACCCTGCTATTTCTTAATTCTTATGTCTATTCTGATTTTTTCTCTCTCTCTTTCTCTTCTGACAATTCAGTGAAAGTATTTTGAACCTTTTAATCTTGTCCTACTTGTCCCTGAGGCTATGGTCATTTTCTTCAATCTTTTTTCCCCCTTCACTCATCAGACTGATTAATTTCTCTTGATCTATCTTCAAGTCTACCAAGTATTTCTTTTGTCATCTGTATTCTTCTGTTAAGCCTATTCATTGGATTTTTCATTTCACATATTCTGATTTTTTGTTCTATAATTTCAAGTTGGTTTATTTTATAGTTTGTTTGCACTGAGTTCCTATCTTTTCACTCAGTATAAACATATGTCTTGACATAGTTTCAATAGCTTCTTTAAATCATAGCTTACAGCTATTTGTGGTGGCATACAGTTATAAACCTAGCACTCAGGAGGTAGAGGCAGGAGGATCTTGAGTTCAAAGTCATTCTGAGCTACATAGTGAAATCCTGACTCAAAAAACCAAGGGCTGGGAATTTAGCTCAGTGATAAAGCACTTTCCTAGCCTGCATAAAACTCCGGGTTGAATCCTCAGCACCACTCAAAAAGATAAATCTTTGCTTGCTAATAAAAAATTTATATCATCTTATGGTTAGTTTCTATTTTTTTCTTGAGAATGAGTCATATTTTCTATTTTTCTACGTGATGAGTGATTCTATGTAATGAGTGAATTTTGTATTAAGTTATGTTTTTTTTGTGGGGGAGATTCTGTTTTGTTATTTCTAAAATTCTTAAGAGTTTTAATTGCTGTTAAATAAGCCAATAATGTGAACTCAAGCAGTAAAACTATGGCCTATGGTAGAGAGCCACAAAAACTCAATCATTTATTTATGTCTTGGATAAGTTTACTTTGAGTCAGCCCAAGAAATGCATAGTTCATTGCTCACCCAGAAATTTGGCCTGAGTTCACACAGAGAACTTGGGACTCTTCTGCTCCGACTCTTCCTCTGTCTGATTTCCCTTCCCACATTCTGGTAGCTTTGTATATCCCAAAGTGTCCTCATTTTCAAGGCAAACTACTTACGACTGTTTTATTGGGGTTTTATCTGTCTTATGTATTGTAGACTAAGAACTTCCCTCTAGATAAAAGCGTCCAAACTGAAACTTAGCCCTTGATTTTTTTTTTAATCAACAATGAAATTTTGTGACCAAATATAATGTGTAAACGTTATGGCTTAAGAGTTTCAAAATTATATGAAAAAATGTATAAAATATTCCCCCTGGAGGAAAAATATATAAAATGACAGAAAAAAAACAAACATTCTGGTTACATAAATTAATTAAGCAGCCGGGCATAGTGGTGCACGCCTTTAATCCCAGCACTTTAATTCCAGCACTTGGGAGGCAGAGGCAGGCGGCCAGCCTGATCTACATAGTGAGTTCCGGGACAGCTAGGACTACAGGGAGACCCTGCCTCAAAAAGACCAAAAAAAAAAAAAAAAAAAAAAAAAATTAAGCAGAAGAAAATTTTTAGCCTGCATGGGAGAAAAATGCAGTGGAACAGTCATTAGGTTCCCTCTGCTTTTCTTGAGCACTCCTCTTCAGAAGCCGCTCTCCTGTTCATTCCTCTTGAGGCCTTGTTGCTTGCTGGCATTGATCTAATCTTATGATGTTGCTTGTGAACTTAAAAATGTTCTTTTATGTACAACAGACTTGAGAGTTCTATTTTTGTAATCTAGACTTTAATCTTACATTCAAAAGTCAGTGAACAGGAAGCTTATATGATGTGTTTTGTTTCTTTTTCTATCTTCAGAATTAAATTTTCTTTAAAGATTAACTAGGCAGAGTAGATGCTATATTTAAAGTATTCTCATGGATGGAGAACTTTCAGATGATAAAAATGCTAGAGGCTGTCTGGGCGTTGGTGTGAGAGAGTTCACTGGAGAATCATTAATTCGTTGTCTTTCTCTACTTCAGGCAGTCACTGAAGAGACTATTGCGTCTTTGCAGAAGAGAGTGGTAGAGTTAGAGAATGAAAAGGGAGCCTTGCTCCATACTTCTAGAGAGCTGGAGGAGCTGAAAGCGGAGAATGGTATGTATAAATGAAAACCATAATCTATCTTCTTACCCCTGTGCTCTTATCACTATGCATGCATAGCACAGAGCTGTTCTCATTCTGTGGTCTTAGATACCAGAGCTGGTAGCTATCAAGATAAGATTAAGACACACTAAATAGCTGAGCATGGTACTGGCATGTATATAAGTATTATATTTTGCAATATGAGCTGTAAATACTGCAGGATTTCTGTATGGGAATGGGAATGATCTCATCTAGGAAGGTTGATCTGAATTGGACTTTACTAAGATACTGAATTTTTTAATAGGCAAAATTAGGAAAGGATATTCTCAGTAATCTATGGAATAAAATAAAATTTAGTCTGCCAAAATATTATTCAGGAGCTATTATTTGCCAGGTATTATACTAATTTTAGGTAAGCAAATATTTTTTTAAAAGCTTTCTGCCCTTAAAAAGCTCATTATTATGTATGAAGAGCTTATTAATTAAAAAGATAAACACATAAATAAACCATAATATAATACTAAAGGTACACAAGGATATTACAGGTACATAAAAATGCACTTAACCCAAGAATAGTACTGAAGTCCAGAAAAAGACATAGCCCTGGTTGTGGCCCGAGAGATGAAAAGCCAGACTAAGAAAGGTAAGATTCTAAGCAGAGAATTATCATGACAAAAGTCCAAGAGAATTCTGCCTTTAAACTTTATTTATATTGATGTGTTTGCAGAACAGAAAGAAGCATTGTCTTATAGTAAACAAAAAGGGGGCAATGTAAAAAGAGGAGAATAGAGAGTAAGTAGGAGTCAAAACTCATGTTAAGGCAGTGGGATGTTATATAAAAGCTGTGCTCTTTTTCTTCAGCGTATTTAGTTTATCAGAAAGAATGGAAGCTTCTTGAGGATATTAGTATTAGTAGTATTCATTATTTTTCCTCTTTCAGAATATTATTAGCCCATTTTAGAGCTCTGTATTAAGGCCCGACTTCTGATCTACATGAACTAGCTGTGTAACCTCTTCATCATGCCATTTCTTTGTTTCCTCATTTGGTCGTTGAGAAGATTGAGTAGCTCTCTTTTAGTGCTAACATTTAATGTTTGAACATCTGTGGAAGAACATTGAGAATGTTGTAAGTGCTATATTCACGTAAAAACGCACGATACAGCCAGTAGAGTTGTAGAGAACTGAGGAAATAGAATTCCAGATTGTGTCATAGAAACAGCTGCTCCGTTTCACATGCCTTGGCATACATTGTCTTTTAAACCTTCCACTGTTTTAGTGGCTCAGTATCATCACCCAGTTCTGTTCTGTCTGATATCTCATATTCTCGTATTATTTTGGCACTTCTTTATTTTAATAAAGTTAGCCTTTCTCCGTCAAACTATTTTGGCTATTTCTTTCATCTTTATTATTTTATATATCTCAGATATCTTCAGTACAACTATGTCACTGTTTTATCAAACCCTCCACATGTATTGTCTGAAGATATTATTCTTTGACTTTTCAGAAACACTGTCTTCTCGGATTACTCTTCTGGAGGCTCAGAATAAAACTGGGGAGGCAAACAGTGAAGTCTGTGAGGTAAGTGATGCATTCTTAGTTCCATCAGGACAGGAACTAGACTTAAGAGGAAATAGCATCAACAATTATTAGTGTTGACAGAGAATCGCATTACCCATGAAGTGAAATAATGTTTGGGATTCATAATGGTGGGACTATCTCATTTACTCATGTCTCTGAATATTTGGAATTCTTTGTCCTAAACCAGCACAACTACAGTAGCCATTGCTTTGCCCATCTCGGAAAAGTTGCTTGCTGAAGATTAGATGAAATCCCTTGAATTTCCCATGCCTCCCAACTGGTACAATTTTTACTTAGGATTTTATTTTAATAGAGCCTCTGAACAGGGCAGGGTGGTACATGCCTTTAATCCCAGTACTCAAGAGGCAGAGGCAGGTGAATCTCTGTGAGTTCAAGCCTCACCTGGTTTACATAGTGAGGTCCAGGCCAGCTAAGGGCTATAGGGA